TTGCCGAATGTGAATAATCGCAACATGAAATACTTGTCCGCGAAAAAAACTTTCTTAATGTCTTTAATGTTTATATTTGTTATTTTGTACCTTTAAAACTTAATAAATACTCTACTACAAAACATAATTAAACTGTGGTTGGTAGTTTGATCTTGTTAGAATACCTTTTTTCCTAACTTTCAGACGAATAAATTGGAAAACGAATGAGCAAAATAGGGAAATTCACACAAATACTTATGATTAGACCACGGCAAGCTCCACTCCTCGCTCAACGTTTTTTCTCAAAAAAGGAAGAAATTTAATTACGAATTCTACACAAATAAATTAAAAATATTTTACTCTAGAGTTTAGTTTTGAAGGATGTTTTTATTGTAAAAAATGTACTGGTAGGTGCATTTTACGTCGTCTTAAACCATGTTTTAGTGCATTTTTTTACCCAGTTTTGGAAATTTAAAAACCCGCGTTCATTTCCGTTACGTGAAAAGACTGGGCATGACAACAGTGGGCATGCCTGGGCATGGCTTCACATTTCCGGTTGGAGGTATCGTTCCAGTTATTTTTAGTTCAATGGAAATTACCGATTATTCATGCCACAAGCTACGCGATACCGATTTTATAATGACGTCATAACATCAGTCCACCGAGTAAAGATGACTTCACTCGTGTCGAGTTTTAACGATACTTTCCAACGTTACATGTTGCTGCAACCAAGATCGTTAAAACTGTTAATAAATGGCACGTTTCAGGCATTAATTTAACACGTTGCTTTGAAACATGTAGTATAATCAACGTGCAATGCATATAATTTTTAAAGTGCTTATTTTCTCAACAATCGGTTTTAGACAATCGGAAATATAGGCAAATATAAGGTAAAAATCGGCCCGATACCGATTATCGGTCAATCACTATATGTAATTATCTCACTTTAAGTGAACCATGCACGTACCACTTTTGCCCTTGGTAAATTCTGAACTCACACAGTTTATCTGAAACGATAAAAAAATGTTAATTACTGTATACTTATAAAATATATACATTATTGCTTATACTAGCATAGTCAGAATGTAACTCCTATTTGGGTTCTAAATAACACATGCAAGCATGCATGCATGCATGTATGCGAGTGCTATAATGTACAAATGTAAAAATTTAAAATTTTGCCTGCGGGCTGCGTAATTTCTTTTAAAATTTGAGCTGTTTTACAGCGCTGCGTTTAAAGTAAAGTAAATCTTAAAATGCTAAATGGCGGCTGAACTTCAACCGAGTATATGAGTTGGAACCTGGGAACGAAACTACTATTTTGTTTTCATTTACATCAATAAGTCTTATTAGTGTGGTTTGTCATGAAAACTTGTGAGTTTTTGAAAGAACGCAAAAAAGAATGTTGATAGTTTTTTAAAACTCACTCTTGCTTGTTTTTCGAGTAAAGATTGGACATATTAGTTACCTTGATATAAATTTGAGCCTCGAGCTGAGTATCCCATTCAAACTCCAGTTCATTTGTATAACTGCCTTGACTTCTTATATTTAGAATACCAACAGACATAGGTATATCTGAAAAACATAAAAATACATAAAGCACTGAATATTTCTTCTGTTTAGCACTTAGTATAGTACTTACAACATCTATTATGCCTGGTTCACACTGGTCGTAAGAATCGGGAATTTCCATTGTCTGTGGTCATTGGTGAGTAAAATGCTTTGTCTGTCGGAAAAGAATACAATAGATCGCCGATGAATTACGACCAGTGTGAACCAGGCTTTAACATGTTTCTTTAATTTGTGATATGGACTTTTACACTGTTAATTCGAACATAGACAATCGAAGGAATTCCTGAGACACTGAACCACGACAGCTTTAAGCCAAAAATTATCTTTTTGCACCAGTGAACTGACATGAATCTTCGATGAGAGTATTCCTCTACGACGACTGGGGAAGATAGATATATAGGTTGGAAGTATATTTTTCTTATTTAGATAAGAAAGAATCTGGTTTTCATTCACATTTTCTGCGATGCCAGTTAGGAAGAATTTCTTTGTTTTTCTTCGCTTGCGTTCCACACCAATAAAACCGTCGGGATCGCTGGACATCTCCTTGGTTTTGCAAGATGATTTTTGCGAGACAGGTCTGTGTTTATTGCTTGTAACAGTTTCATGAGATGTCACTATATCTGCATAAGTTAACATATGTCCTTGCATTGAGGTTTGCTCAGCATTTAGTATTTTATTATTAGATTTTAACTGTTCGCTGTCACTAAGATCAGTCGGTTCGTTGGGAGCAAGAGAGCTAACATTAACAGCTTCGCTATTGACCCTCGTGCATGTATGTTTGAGTTATCTTGTTCTGGTAGATCAGGCACCAACCACAAAGGATTACTGTAGAAAACTACCTACACTAGACTCTCACGTTTGAGATATTTTTTTGCAGGTAGTTCCAAGAAAGGAATTCCTTTTGATTGTCTACGATTCGAAGGAGTAGACTTAACTCGTGCATGTATGCATGACTTTCATTCTTTTCACGAGAACAATTTACCAGTTAGAAAAGTGCGTCTTTTACAGACTTTCGTTTGCATGCATGCTACATTTGAGAGATCATACAATTTGCCTGATGACCAGGGCTAGGGGGTGTGCACGGTATGGACCCCAACGCACCCCACCCCGACCTCCAGTAAATCCACCCTGGGTCTATGCATGCGGTTATATACAAAACATCATTTGGAAAAAAAATTATGACAGCTCATAGCATAATGTTTGCGCATTTTTTAAATGTTTACTCCATGCGTGAATAGAAAAGACCTGATATTTAACAGAAACTGATCATGCAATGTGTGAAAACAGAAATATCTCCACCATGGTTGATGGAAATACGAGAATAATAAAGTTCGCTTCAAGTCATAACAATAAATTACATGTATCTCCTTGAAAGTGTATGATTATCAATTAAAATCCTCCATACCGATTTCTAAAAGTCGTTCAGCAGGTCGATTGGTTAGCCATTCTTCGTACTTTTCTGCCTCAACTACTTGTAGTTTACGCTCGTAAAATCCAAGTTTCACCAGAACCTAGGATAATATATAGATATGTTATTGCATGACTGAGCGAGAGGTCCGGACTGTAGGATATTAGTCAAGTCCATTTTTCGTTTGTATATGGACCGAACCGTGGGCGAGGTCCATATACAAACGAACAAAGAACAAGAGTAATATCCTACTGTCTGGACCGAACAAGCTCAAGTTATTTATTATATGGGTAAACATTAACAAGAGAGTCCAGAACAAGCTCAAGTTATTTATTATATGGGTAAACATTAACAAGAGAATTCTTCGAAAAACAATGTTTATAAATTAATTCGATAATTAAGTTGTAACAAGAATTAAATAAAGCAGTAAATAAAAGTGCAGGATTTGAACTTTCTGTAAACAATTTTTGACAAAGATAAAACGGTAACAACATATTTTCAGATATTAATATATGAAATGTCGAAAACAGAGTAGTTTTCATTCCAGTTTCACTTGGTAGGAATCGAACCTGCGGCCATGCAATTCCAGTGCAGCGCTCTAATCAACTGAACTACAGAGGACAGTTGTCGAGCTCTAACCACAAGTTCATGTATATATACTAGGGTAGTGCCATGTGTAGGTTACTGTATGTGTAAATGTGCATTTATGTACTATTTAAAACATGAGCAGCAGAGTGTTTTATCAGATATAAAGATACGAGGCGAAGCCGAGTATCTTTAGATCTGATAAAACACGCACTACGAATGTTTTAAATTGCTTCAAAAACGATCGATCTGGTAAATTCATTGGCGAAATAATTTTCACAAAATACGTTGTGTAAGTCGAGAAAATCAAAGTTAAAGTTTATGTAAATCAAGGGAAATCTCTCACATATAAAGATACGACACGCTTATGATTTTTCTTCGTGTTTTCCTTATGGATTATTAATGCGTTCACGTAATACATTTACACATAACCTACACATGGCAGTACCCTAGTATACAGCCAATTCAATTAAATTCTGAACCTTAAACCTTAAATTCTAAGCGCGCAAAGCGTAATGGGAGCACAAGTTTCAAGATTAGTAGTCGAATATTGCAGCTATTTGTAATGAATTGTTCTCGTAAAGAGATATTTACCACGTCTCCAAGAAATGGGCCCCATATAGGATTTCTAAACTGATTAAATGATGCTCCCATTATGCTTTGCACGCTTAGAGTTTAAGGTTTTTCAAAGGACAACCTTTTTGAATTAGCTGTATACACATGAACTTGCGGTTAAAGCTCGACAGCTGGACTCTGTAGCTCAGTTGGTTAGAGCGCTGCACCGGAATCGCTTCTGCAATAACCTTTCTACAATACCCTTCAAGTATTATGTATCACTGCCTCTCTCGGCATTTAAACTGTTTTATTATATAAAGTATAGTGCTTTATAGAGATTTCGAGCACTGATAAAAGTGATAATCGCTTTTCAATTATCGCTTTTCTGCAAAAATTATCGCTTTTCAAAGACTGTTCTTTATACAATAAACAGAAAAATACATGGGTGCTTGGAAATACCAGATTTATTTCTCGTGTTGAACATGATAGTATCATGTTCAACACTCGAAATAAATCTGGTATTTCCAAGCACCCATGCACCCATGTATTATTCTCTATATAAAAAGCGTTTTTATACATGTAAACAACGTTTTAACACAAAATAGAGTAGAATAGCAAGTTATTTTACATAAAAAACTTACCAAGACTACATATTTATAGTCTTTTTTGACTAGGTAAAGAGTTATTTAAGGGTTTTTTTCGTAAGCGATCCATCTTAGTGGTCATCCTACCAACCGCTCAATAACCAATCAAAATGCTGCATTTTGCAGATGGACCAACTTGCCATATAATTAATGCATGTATTAAATAGCAAATCACTGGTTTAGTAACTTTTGTGGGATATGGTGGGGGGCAGTGCACGTGCACTACCAGACAATAGGCAATTCCAGCTTTTAGTTTATGCGTGCATGGGGGCGATGGGAAGTAAGGTATCACATTGCTGATTATGCTAAAAAATAAAAATGTGCCGTGTAAACACGGAGTGATAGCTTATACTTGTAAACATTGAAATATTTCGGTTGCTTCGGTAGTTTTTATTGAAATTTTTCAGCATAATCAGCAATATGATACCTTACTTCCCATCATCCCCTGCAGGCATAAACTAAAAGCTGGAATTGCCTATACGCCATCACAAATGCACCACATAAACCTCCAGTGACAAATATAAATAATATTACTAAAATACTCACATTTACAATGTTATTACTTATAAACGAAGTATCCCACAAAGTTTTGAGTCGAACTTGATATGACTGACCTTAAAAACGCAAAAAATAACACAATAATTATATAGGGCTTTGGCAGAGACATACGTGCGATTACTCACGCCAAAAGAATACCCATGCAATGTCTGCTGAAGTTTACATGTTGAAGTCATTGTTAGTCATTGTTACCAATCTTTAATACGGTAAAATCTAACAAAAGTGAACCTCTTCTCTGAAAATGAACTATCTAATATGCGGGACGTAAATTTAAATAATCATACTTCAAACAAAACTAAATGATGGTTGATAGAAAATCATTTTCACATAAAAATAACTCGAAATCTCAGGCATGGAAACCATTTAAACCCACATCTGTCATGCACATCGCCTTCTCATGTACAGTACAGTATGACCTACTACATAATAATTGTGAAACGCTTTTGAAGTCGTTAAATAAACAAGAAAATTAGAAATACGTGTTTTACAAAGCCATGCACTCGCGCGGTTTTATCCTAGGGAAACACTTCTGCTTGTTCAGTATACACGACAGCACATTTTGCCATCATAATACACGATGAAAGGCGATATTAACCTTGATTAAGGTACGTTATACTGTCTTCATTCAATTTCTTCGATGATGACGTCGGAGCCTTGAGGGCAAAATTAAACCTAAAACATTTCCAGTAATAATATGTTAAAAGTTTTAGTAAAATATTATCATCGATATTATGACTTGCATCGTCGAATGAACAATCGCAAAAACGTTGTCAATTCCACGTGAAACGTCAGTGTTTATTTAGCTCAACCATTCAGGTTAAGCCTGTAGCTAAACGTGATTGGTTGAGGAGATAATAATCTGTATACTCAATGCTCTTGACCAACAGGAATGTTTTATGTGCATAGTATATGCATACGACGTTTTAAACTGCAACTGTTCGTCCTTTCTATGCAACTGCATGACGTATAAAGGTCCATACACACCCAACGCGATTTGGCAACGCGACGCGAATTTTCAATTTACAATGACATTTAACCTCAATATTTTTCTATGTTTTTCAAATATCGGAACCACTTAAGCAATTTTAGCTATTTGGTCTGCATATCTTGTAAAATTTTTATCCGTTGACAGTTTTATTTGTTTTTAAAAACTGAAAATTCGCGTCGCGTTGTCGAATCGCGTTCGGTCGGTATGGACCTTTAAAGCCTTCGGAAACAGCGCCGCAACCCACATGCATGAAATAATTTCCTCATCCAGAATGGAACGTTATGTGCCCACTTTATTTCTTTCTTGCACTTGTCATACTTTTGACTTGCTTCACTATTGGATATTTGCACTCTCGTGCAAAAATCCAAATAGCATTTTAACACAGAAAAAAAAATATTTTAGGTGTCACTTTCTATAGGCAACAGACTGTATTGTACAGTTTCAAGGTGCGAGAAATTAAAGCAGCGTGAAAATTTATGGTTATAAAGACGATAACAAGAAAGGTAACAAGAACGAACATTAATACAAAAAAAAAGTAGACAAGAAAAAAAGTAGACAATATAAAAAAATTTTAAAAAATAAACAATTTTAAATAAATTTATGTACATGCAGATTTAGAATTGTGAACTTTTCAACGATTTAAAATTGTCTACTTTTTTATACAAAAATATTTTCTAACGTACGATATCGCTAAACAAGTTATCAGTTCATAAAACCATAGTATTATTCTTTAAATCGACGTCAAACTACGAAATTTCGGCGCATTCTTTGCCAGCTTCATGTTAACCGCGCAGACAAAAACAATAGAAAGGGACTGGAACTAACGTCCAATAACTCTTCAATTTCCGCCATCTTGGCTTCACTTTTTGGACTCGAGTCTCGCTCCCACTGAGCTCCAGATATAAATGGAGCACACTGACAAAGAATTAATGCATGCGTGAACTAGCAGTGCGCTGTATACACATCATATAGCATCAATTACCTGGGCAGAAGTGGATCTTCTTTGAACTGTTTTAACGGAGATCCTTCTGCTTTAACATTTCTAAAACAACATCTCTTAATATTCAGTGCATACATTCTAGTACATAACCAAGCTGAAGTGTAAATTAAACACAATTATATATAAGATTGTAAGATTGTACTTACGGGTTACTGCCATCCGATACACTTAACATGGACGGTTCTTTGACCAGATTCAAAACTTCTCTACATAAATTAAATTGAAGAAATTTAAGTTTTGAAAAATTGTTGTTTATAGTGAACACGGTACATTAGCTCTAAGTTAATTTTGAATATGGTTATTTAAATTATATATCAAGAGAAATAATGCTATACGTTATATGGGATGACAGCCTTGGCATACGTGTTTCCTGTAATATTGCATGTAATTGATTAACAAGCCATGATGCAAGGTTCAATTTACTATTGACTCTATTATGAAGGATCTTTTGAAGACAATTGGAATCAGGTAACGAATGTGAATCCATTTCGTCGGTATCTAAGGCAAAATTTAGCTGTGCCTACTGTAAAATCGTCGCGGATATGGTCATAAAACGGCAGTCGCAAATTTTCCATGAAAAAAAGTCTTGATAAAAAACCGAACGCGCCCAACTTTTCGGAAGGAGCGCAGTCAAAACAATTCAAATGATGATGTAAGTAAATGATAAATAGATCTTGGATTACATGTATTTAGGCAGTTTAATGTGACGCAAACAGATAAAGGTCATATCGACCTGTGCCAGGGTATAGGTAGTGACAAAAACACCAGAAAACGGCGGATTCAGAGGGATACAACTATCTGAAAAATACAAGTAAAATTTTCTATTTAAAGTGGAAGTCAAGTCCGTTCTGCGCATCGGTTCTGCTCATAACAATGTGAGGACCCTCTAATGTAAACATTGCCCAAATTTCGAATGTTTCGAATTTTTCTGAACATAAACTTTATTTCATATTCATTTAGAAGCATAGCGAACCAAAATGGTGTTAGATATTCAGTCAGTACATCATATTTTAAAAAATACAGCAGTTCAAAATGTAAACAAACCGTTTGTTTACATACGGACTTGACTTCCACTTTAAAATTTTGTAAAATTTTGAAGTTAGTTGGCCACTAAAGGTGGAGTTACACGAGCTGCAACTTGCAACAAAATCTGATTTCTACGCATTTTAATTGAAAATGTTTACACATAAATTACAAATCACAAGGCAACATGTGTCGACATTTCTACTTAACATGCGTTGAAATCAGATTCTGTTGCAAGTTGCAGCAATTTTGTTGCTCGTGTATATAACTTAACTTCCTGACGAAAGATCTTCGCTCGAAACGTCGAAGTTTTACTTATACTTTTCTTGTAGTAGTCCGCGGCAACAAAAAGCGACTGAATAGAACACGAGTTGCGCGGGCCTTTCGCGAACCATTTATTTTGCCAAGCGCTTCAGCCCACCATCTTTAATGAGGAGCCCCTGCCCTTTTGCAAATTGCTTTTCCAGGTTTTAAACTCAAAAAAAAATTAGACATGAAAAAGCGAAATCAACTTTTATCTTACACTTGAGGCGAAGTGTTATTTCCACTGGCTCACACACTGCTGGGGGCCAGATAGAAATTGGGTGTTATCGGGTGGTGCAGGTTAGATGAGCACATTTTTGTTGTTGTAATGTTTGTTTGTAACAAAGCGAGCATTGTGTGATAAATAAAGTGTCAAGCTTGCGGCTGATGTTGCAGCAGCTCCCAGCGGTGTGTGAGAAAGAAATTTAAGTCATTGGGATGTATCATTTCACAAAAAAGTATTTAAATTTTCTATGCTCATCTCTTTCTATTCAAAACAGTGTATATCTGTATATATATTAGCGAACCAACCGGTAACGAATAGCTAAATCTCTAATATACGCTGTATACGTCCGTTTTGGCGAAAGCGTTATATCTTTATACAATATTCTGTATGTATGTATGTATATGTAATAGTCTGCCAATAATATGAACAAGCTTTCGTTTGTAGGGATGCAACTAACTGAAAATATATAAAGATAATTTCAACTCCAGATTAAGGGCCTTCGCTCGAAACGTCGAAATTCTCCTTAACATATTTCCAGGTCTACATGCAGGGGCCGGTTGTATAAAAACGTAATTAGCGCTAACTGTAGTTAGCGTTAATCACTGTAGTTAAATCCTTAACTGTAATTAGTTAATTACATGACTTAACTGCGTTGCACAAAACGTAGTTAGTCGGATAGTTAACTAATCACGTAGTTAACTGTGCGTGGGGCTTGCGTGGGGGGTTTAAACACAAAATTACATAAAGTAAGCAGCGAGTAACGACCGCTGACATACATTTTCAACATGATTGTGGACTCGCATTTTGCAAATATGCGGAAATTTTATTCAAAACACTAGAAAACAGTGAAAAATAAACAAGAAATCAAGGAAAAACCGCCACAAAAATCATAAAAGAATGCAGTTTTTCCTTCAGATGTCTACTTTAAACCAAGGTCTAGCTGTTTGGCAATTATATATCAGTGTTTCTTGGTGTAATGGACCATACTTCGTCTTCAAGAAATCGCCCTGTGCAAAATTATGTTCTGTTTTCGTAAAAACACCAAAGCGATAGTGTTTGAAGAGTTTATATTGTCAGGAAACATTCACAGAGGAGATACTGAGATAGCGATTGCAAATCTCAGGTAAGCGTTGCTTTTCATTATTGTTTTGCTGAAAAATGATGTTCACTCGTATACAAACGCCATTTTTAACTACGTTTTGGACAGTTAACTATACCCTAAAGCATAGTTAACTTTAACTACTTTTTAACTGCAGTTAAGGCTAACTACACTTTTATACAACCTGCTTAGTTAACTACGTGATTAAAGTTAACTATTTTTTAAGGCTTTTTAACTACTTTTTAACTGCAGTTAGCGCTAACTACGTTTTTATACAACCGGCCCCTGCAAACTGCTTTAAGGTGGGTGGTAGTCTACCCTAAAATTTCTGGAATAGTTTAAAAGTTTTAAAAAAATTTTTTTGGCTTTATTTATTTCATGAACTATTATATTTTCACTTCATGGTGTTTTCATTCGGATATTTTAAACCTTTTCGCCAAAATATCCATTTATGTAGAAAGATATCCGATAATTATGCTTAGCAACGGTTTATTTTTACTATGTTCACTTTGGTTGCTATGGGTTTTTTTCATCCAAAATTATAATATTTTGCCCCAAACCCCCCTCAATAGTACAAAGGCATTCCTCCTCCTGAAACATGCATCATCTTGCTCGATCCATGCCTCTGAAACCGTTTTATTGAGCATTGCGTTATGGTGATTTTTGAGGAGTGATGGAAAATAATAAACAATCCCTTTCAATCGAAGTCTTTTAAAAGTATTTTCATGGGGTTTTATGCGCTAGAAATAAAGAATAATTATGGAACAAAGCTAAGATAGGTAACGTGAAAGAAAAGAAATGGTTATATTGATAAATACATACAAGAAAGGGCTGAAAAGTTCAGTAATGGCGCTGCCGCCATAATAGCTATCTTTGTAGTTATTCGACTGTCAGGGACAATCTTGCCGCTATT